GCTTGGTATTCCTTTTATCAAATACCGTTGCTATTGAACCTCATCAGAACTTTTGTCTACTGACTGGCAGACCGCAAACCGCCGCGGGAGATGTAGAGAATCCTGCCAAAAATAAGAAGCTTCTTGCTCAACAACAACTCAATGATCGTTGGAAATCATGGTGGACTCGGATCTTCTGGTCATGGGTATTAGTGCTGTCTTTTGTGGCGATTATCTACGGCGGCCATCTATACGTGTCATTGATGGTGCTGGGTATAGAGGTGGCGTGCTTCTACGAAATCAATAAGATCTCATACAAGGTAGGTTTGCTAGGTTGTATCGAGCTTCGGAGATAGCATACGTGCACACGGACGTCTCCTGCAATGTGCATGACTGTATGTAAGGCCGATGTAGCTGTTCAAGATGTGCATCATATGTACACTACGTCGGCTATCTGTTCGATATGGCGTTTATTAGAGAAGATGCCTGCTACTGCAATAGCGTGTGATTTAAGTTTAATCGAGAGTATTCTATGTTACAAGTATGTGTTTACTAAGTGGCGATGGACAGCGTGTCTGCGCTTAGCGACAGCTGCAAGTACATTATGTCATTCAGTGCATCTTTTCCAGTGTGCGGGGCAATGGTGTAGCCTGCTTCTACGAGATCAGTAACTTCTCAAACAAGCTTAGTAACGGGACTGAGATTTGTTGGTTTCACTATCGGCAGAGATGACGCAATCTAGACCGCACCTATCATTTGCTAGTCTATTGACATTTCACACAAATGCATTGACTATGTGCAATGGCGATGCACACAAGTTTATCTACTACATATGTATTCCGGCAGTAGATTTAGATCATATACTATGCGGTAGTGGAGCTTGTATTGACTGCAACAGCCGCGCGAACGGATGTCCTAGGCGCTAGTAGTAGTATCATATCATCCATACCATAGAAACGGATTCTGAGTGCACTGGCCACTTGCACTGTGCTGCTGCCGCCTGTGTATCTCACATGGAGAGTGGTACTGGTTTTTGTAACAGCCGCGTTTAGGGTTTATAATCAATGAAATGTACTGGCGCTGTACTGTTTGTCTCATTGCACAAATTGAATGTGCGATGCGATCATTACAGGCGAACAAAGACAGAGAAGCTGAGCTGGCTAAGCAACAGAACAAGAAGGTCACCCGAGTGCCTTTTGTGCGCACTATCAATTGGTATGTCCATGACCACCTGCTGCGGTGTGTTTGGCTGGTGTGTGCATGTGTATGACAACATTAACTATGGAGTATAGGGACATAGGTATAGACCTGTGCTTTGTCTTTCCAGTGGTTCAATTTAGATTGTCGATGCGTATTATTTGCCACGCCGTCTCAGTCTACATGTACAATTCGCGCTCGCCTTAGATTGGTTTAACCCATCTCTTTCTCGCTTCATATCTCATCTACGCCGGTACTTCCCGTTTGCGGGCACCTTCTTCGTTTATGCCAAGCGATTGCCGCTGCAACAAACTCCATGGCAAATGTCAATGCAACTAGTCCCCTCGTTTTACGTTCACTTCTTCCACTCATCTACCACCTCGTCATCTAACACCCCCACCTCCGCCTCACCCAATACCTTATCTACCTCAGGTACTTCCTATTCGTAGCCAACTACTTCCTATACGCCAAGGGCGTCTTCACCATATTGGCAAAGCCTGTCGCTCGAGGTGAAACGGACCTTTTCCGGTCTCTACCGTTAATCAAGCACAACACAGACTTCCTCAACCGCCTGGCCTCGCATCACCTGTTCTTCTCGTTCTTGCTGTACATTGTGGGGATTGTGGTGTTTGTGCTGACTCTGCGCAACGGCCACTACCGCCGACAGTTCTCCCAGTTCGGGTGGACGCATGTCACGGTAGTGTTACTGGGTAGGTTGCGAACAGAACGACTTTACCACACCATTACTCAATAGGATGTGAGTGTGTTGTCGTAGCGTGTGCAATATCTCCTCTTTGTTTCTGCTGTATTGTGCCAGTATCAGGAAACGTGTGCCTGTGCCTGTGGTGGCTCTGCGCAACGGCCAATTGCCTGCTGCACTTCTCACAGTTCGGCTGGTCACGTTTTTCGACGGTTTTTGTTCACGAAGTCCGGTACAGCGGGGGAGTATGGGCCTGGTTGCCAGGCCATCGATTGATAAGATGCAAGATTGTTCAACAACTCCCATCAATACGCGGAATCGTGCTTGTGCACATGTTCACGCAATGATGCTATAGCGCACACACATACATACACACACACACACACTTGCAAATTGCATACAATGGTATATATCCGGGCGCATAAATACTCAGATGCATCCGTGTGCATATTGTCACTGCATCGTTTATCTATTCTCGCGTGGAACTGATGTTCTGCTCTTCGCTTTAATCCTAAAGTATCGTCTCCTTATCAGTCTCCCAAATGCACGCGCGCCCGTAAACTCTCATCACGTACTCAAATTCACACATGATGCCTGCGTCCCTACACCCTTTCCCATCATTCTGCATATCCACGTTTTTTAAGACGCATTTCATTGTAAACCAGTAATCATCTGATCCACTGAAGTGGCCCACATCTCTCTGTATATCTTAGATGCACGCCTGGCACCACACCATACCCACATACTCAAACCATCGCACCCCATACCACATCGACACACAGGAAGCAGCGCTCGGGCCATTTTCAGTAACATCACTGAGGGGCTGGTGTGGTTCCTGCTGCCGGTGTTTATTGTCATCTGTAACGACTGCACGGCCTATATCTTTGGCTTCTTCTTCGGCCACACGCCACTGATTGAGCTCAGCCCGAAGAAAACCTGGGAAGGGTTCTTGGTATGAGGATCCGATGCACAATACACCCGTGTGTGTGGAGTGGACTGCACCCGTGTGTTGCGTGGAAGCACTTGTCTGTATCTGTGTGGGGCGCTGGACGGATATTGGGATGTGGTGGTGGTGTTGAGTAAGTGATACGCCTGTGTGGAATGCATACACTGTTTTGTGTGTACATGGAGCGCTCCTGGTGTTAAGCTGGTGGTGGTGTCGAACTATTTTGTTTCTAAATGTATCGTATTTCAATGATCCGCTTGGTTTTAGTCATGGACCTGCGGGGCTACTTATGCCCATGCACACGCCCGTACGGCGTAGCGCTGTGGAGTATTCATGTACTTGTGCCGTCATATCTTCTTGCCCCGCCCACAGGAAAGGATACCATGGTTCTCCTAATGCAACAACCCTAATTCAACAAGTCACGTCTATTCTGTAAATAGCAGAGCCTCTGTGAACCCTACCCATATTCCGCTGATACTAACCCCTACTCCCACTCCACTCCCACCCCCGCGATCCTGACCACAGGGAGGGTTTATCAGCACCATGTTCATAGGCTATGGCTTTGCGTTGTTATTTGGCCACTTCGATTACTTCACATGTCCGGCGGTGTTCAGTATAACGCCGAGCGTCCACACCATCTCATGCCCCCCCAACCCCATCTTTGAATGGCAAACGTATCCCATACCAGCGGTATGTACCCGTACATATCTGCGTTAGTTGTCGGATTGTAGGTTGTGTATGTTATCTATATCGGAGTGAACGTGTATGCTGTTATATATTCGGTACTATACTCATCATCCATTTCATCTTATGGCTTCATGTCTATAAACCGCATCTTGGGAATGGCAGACCGATCGCGCACACCGCTATGCAGATATGGGCAATCTGTTTGTTTACATACGATGAGTTGCATATATATTTTGTATCGGGGTGTATGCATCATTTCCCGTGTGTAAAAGTTGCATGTATTGCTCACACGCGCATGCTATACGTTAGCCTTGACGTTTAATCCATTTGCGTATGTTGAATTTATTTGCATGATTATAATATGTTTTGGTGTATACATGAATTCCGCCAATGGCTTGTATTGGCATGTAATTTCACGTCGAGTAAGAACCCAAATCGTTGATAGGACTTTGGACATGGAATCAGAATCACTCCGCAACACACTCCAAGTGCCATGTACACTCCCCATCAAATCTACGTAAAACCTTAAATTCCCACACTTTCTTTAACCCTCGTCCGGTATTGTGAGCTGCCATGAGGCCGCTCTTGCAGGAGACCACACACAACATAAACCATCGACTAATCCATTTATGATTCTAGATTACTGCTTAGTATGATCATACAATATTCATGCGCATATCTCCACTCTCCTTTCACTCTATCATACAACATACATCGAGCACATGTAAACTTCTCACTGACGCTATCATATAACATGCATAGAGTATACGTTCACTTCCCATTCACGCTATTATACAGCATATATTGAGTATATGTCCACTCCTCATTTACGCTATCATACAACTTACATCGACCACATGTAAACTTAGTATATGTCTTCTTCTCATTTACGCTATCATACAACATACATCGACCACATGTTTACCCCTAATTCACGCTATATGACACGCGTCTCTGCATCTCGCCAGGAATTGCGAGCGGTGATTCCGTCGCTGCCAGAATCATACGACACCAAACCCATCGCACTGCACGGGTTAGTGTTTGCCCTTTTCGGTTCGTTAGTGGCGCCGTTTGGAGGGTTCATGGCCAGCGGCTTCAAGCGTGCCTTCAAGGTAAACTTGATTTGTTTCTGATACGTAATCTATATGTTTCTGATATGTGTTTTATATTGCTGGTTCCTGATATGTATTCTATATTCTTGGTATGACTTCTATATTTTTTTAATGTATTCTATATTCTTGGTATATAATACAGTTACAACAGTGCTCTCTACGCCAGTAGTCTTGTAGTATGGCGGCGTGCGAATGACCACATCGCAGTTTCTTATAGGTATACGTATACACGCTAGGACTTTGTCACTTGCGATTTCTACAGGCTTCCACAACCCTCTGGCGCGTCGGTGTGTGTGCGCACGTACTGTAGCTTCTTGATAAGACTACTTGGACATTTAGACTGGATTATTCCCGAGATGTGCTGTGATGGGGTTTAGGCCTCTACGCTTTCGATCCATTCCTTATCTTTGAATCTTATCTGTTTCTGCCAGGTCAAGGATTTCGGCGATTTGATCCCGGGCCATGGTGGGTTCATGGATCGTTTTGACTGTCAGTTCCTGATGGGCTCATTCACATATGTCTACTACCAGAGGTAAGTCTATTGGGTTTCTGGTGTATGTGTGTTTGATTGGTCAGTCACATAAATATATATATATAGATATGTATAGATACGTATCTATGGGTATATGGGTATGACAGTGTATGGCAGTATATGTATATATATATGTGTGTGTTTGCTTGCAAATGGACCTGTATGTCTTCTAGCACACCTATACAAATGGCACGCTAAATCTCTATTCAGGAGTGCTTGAATTTATGTTGGGAGTGCAGTGGAAGCTTACTTTGCGCATATTTCACAATCTAAAAACATAGGCAAACTGGGATGTACGGTATCACCCAACTGGTGTTGCCTACGGTTGCTTAAGCTATATGAAAGAAATCTCAGCGTGTATAGACGGTACAATCAGCAACCAATACCTAGAACTCTTTCTTATTGCTCTAACTTGTAGTGGTATGAGGTACAGCTCGTGTAGTAAGACTCAATCTACCCTTCCTTTGTGTACCATTCCTTTGTGTAGCTTCATCGCTCCGATCTTCTACTTCGATGTGAACACTATCGCGACACACCTGGACAAGCTCTCGGCTGACAGCAAATTGGAGTTGTTGCAGGTATTGCAAGGTGAGTTGTGTATGGATGATGAATAAGTGTTGCGAATACACTTACTGTGCGTGGTTTGTACCATACCGCCCGATTGCTTGTGAGACTAACATACTGTGCACCTTGTTGTGCTTATATAAAACAGACACATCCGATTCTGCTTTGTTGTGTATTTTCTGCTTCATTTTCTATTCGTTTTACCGTCTATACGTTACAAGTCCATCCTGCACGGTGACGGCACTGTAGTTTGTGCCGAGTCATTGAACGTATCGTTTTCTCCACATCTCTACATACAGCATCCATTGCTGGAGACAAGGCACAAGGGCAAGCGATCCACTAAAGACATGGACATGCTAAATGGATCCGTACTCACGTCTCACTGGGTAGATACCCACTAGGTTGCATACTCCGCCTGTGTTAAACTCGCCTGTACTGGTTTCAAGTGTGTAAGGAAAAGCATAAGCGAGCGCGGAAATTATGCGCGTACATGTTTTTCTTGTTGGAGTGGGTATGATGACGCGTGTAGAAGTGGCATGTGGGGCGGAAGATTTCTGAACGACGCTCACCGTATGCGTGTGCATAGTGACATTTCGCTTGTGTTGCTGAGGGTTTTAGGGTTTAAGTGGCTTACACTTGTGTTGCAACACCGCTTGACCTGGATCAGTGAGGACTACGGGAGCACCGGCACGGAGATGCGAGCAAGACCTTGCTACCATACAGCCCTCGACAATATGCGATTGAGTATAGTTGTATACATGCTGCGAATTTCGAGACTATCGAATGAGATGAATTTTTTTTTAATGTGTACGCCATTGACTCGCGACTATAAGCGCTGTGTTTGAGGTATTAAGAGAGCTGATTAAAATAAACGAATTTATTATGTGGAGTTATACTTGTTCAAGTGTCTCTTAATTTTTGTTTTTCTACGACTACGAAGATGTGTTCATACTTGTGGTACCTATATAATGAATGCAGATCCGTTCAAAAAGGTACACATAGCGATTTAATATAGCTATTGTTGTCGATGGCTGTTAGAAATCTTTCCGGGTACGACCGCGTCACATGATCACATTAATCTAAACTTTAATATGCTACGCAAACATATTTCCAAATTATTGGTTTACAACTGAAGCACTATATCCTTCTACATGACTTCCGGTAGTGAACAATGAAATCGCGGGTGCTTCAACATTTCGTAGCACTGTAGGCGTTCCAATATGTAGCAGACATAGTGTGTGGTATATTATAGTACAATGAAGTATTATGTAATAAAAGTAGAAAGTATCTTAGTCAAGTCTGTTCCTCGTTCCTTTGTATTCAGTTGTCTATGGTTTTCTGTATTGCAGTCCCTCTCCTACTAGTTAACGCGAGACTATAGACGATAGTAGACTATAAACCGTCGAACGTAAATGCAGGAATGATTGAATTATATGTCCCTCTAGATTTGTCTTGACCGGAAATGACAACATATGATTTATGGGTTCTTTCTGCGACGAAATCAGAAATCTGGCGCCAATGCAGATGGTCGTACATGTGTAGCGGAAATCGAAAATTTGGTGGCTACTGAGTACTTAGCGCAAATGCAATCTTGAATAGATTCCAGAGCGCCGTAAATTTTATATATACTCTTTTGTCCGACGTATTTATAATTATTGTTTTGAAAAAACAATATTTTTTCAAATGTATCTTTTAAAAACATAAATAAATTCAGAAATATATATATATAAATACATTTAAACATATTTTGTGTTGTTTATAAAAAGCAAAACAAAACAAAAATCTGAACACTCAAAACAGCCGAGTGCCGAGTGCCTACAACTGACACAAGTGACAACGCGTATTTAGCCATTGGAAGGCCCGCGACGGGCGACGGGCT